AATTACTGCTTGCTTGAAAACGCTTGCCCATAATTTCTGCATGTGTGTATGTGAGGCATGGCACTGGACTCATGAGACTGATTTTCACACCAATCTGAATGCTCATTTCGAATGCGGAATTTCAAACTCCCTGTTTTGGATTTTTTTTTTTTTTTTGAGGTGCAGTTTCACTCTTGTTACCCAGGTTGGAGTACAATGGCGTGATCTCGGCTCACCGCAACCGTTGCCTCCTGGGTTCAAGCAATTCTCCTGCCTCAGCCTCCTGAGTAGCTGGGACTACAGGTACATGCCACCATGCCCAGCTAATTCTTGTATTTTCAGTGAAGATGGGGTTTCACCATGTTAACCACGATGGTCTCGATATCTTGACCTCGTGATCCACCTGTCTCGGCCTCCCAAAGTGCTGGGATTATAGGCATGAGCCACTGCACCTGGCCTCAAACTCCCACTTTAGAGGGAACAGACTTGCTCTATTTTCATTGTTGCTGCTCCAATATTTTCAGAACCCTCCAAGGCTCTCAACAGTCAATTCATTCTCTTGGTGCTAAGTAAGAAAAATGAAAAAGTAAACCATGTTGTATTATGCCATGGAGATTTGGGTGTTTTTTTCCACTCCAGTTTAACCTAGCCTATCCTGATAAATTCAGCCTCTACAGAAAGAATTCTGTATCTAGTAACGTGTCAGTACAGCTGTTTAAAGTGTTGAGAAGTAGTTTAATCTTCTGGTCTAAAGTGCTTGAAATTATCTTTAAATATAGGATTTGTACTGTAGACTGAGGCAGGGTTAAACTTCAGGAATAAAAAAAAAAAGTGGCTTCATATTTGGAGAAAAAAGGATTTAAAACAAAGAGCCTAGCATTTGTAGTTCAGGGAATGATGCATTTCCCAGTGTGACAGACAAGAGTAAATTGTCCAATGCAGCTGGCATTTACAGTAAGAGATTGGTGGGAGTTGGCAATAATGGGTAGTAATGTAAAGTAAATGGCAAAATTAGAAAGTGACATTCTTTGAAAGGTCTTGAATGTTCTACTAAATAGTTTGAATTTTATGGAGCACGCAATATCATAAAGTGGTAAAGTGACATAATCAAAACTGTTAAGGGAAAGTAGTAAGGTGGGGAGAATCCTAGAAGAAGACCGGGTCTGGAGGCCAGTTAGCAGGTTTTTGCAGTAGTTCAGACAACACTTAATGAGAGCCATAATGTTATTAGAAAGACATAAAGAACTATAATGCTAATCTGTTGTTTATTCAAAGCACTTTCTACTGTACCATGTTACGAAAGATTAACTTTCACTATATTTTTCACTATATTGATTGATGATTTCGATAGTAAAAGAAAAATGTTTAACATTGTGATTTCACTAAACAATATATGACATTGAATAAACTTCTGGGACTATCTTGACAATTACATTACTGTCTACCTTCAGTTAGTTTACATGTAAACTGGATAAACAGTATATTCTTTTATTATTCTAAAACTCTGAAAAAATGAAATAGAATATTTCCATGAAATTACCTAAAACCTTTGTGTCCTTACACATTCATAAGAAAATTATTTTTAAAGATAAAATCAATTACTATTATACTGTAGATTATTTTTATATGATAGAGTTAAATGTAAAATACATATGTTCTCAAAGCCATAGTTTACTCATATTAAATTGGGATTGTAATGGTGTCTGCTTCATAAGATTATTATAGATATTAAATAAAATAATATTTGTAAAGCAATTGACTTATCTGACAAAGAGTAGACTATATAAATGTTAGTATTAATATTTTTACTATATCAATCATCAAATAGAAGTAACAAACCAAAAATAGAAGTAAAAAACTGAAGTGACAAATGAGTCATTTAATATGACAAATACTGGCAATAATGTGTTTTCTTTTGCATAGTTTTTGAATAAAGAAGTAATTTTAAAATTTAAAAACCTGTAAATATGATAATTGTCTAAATTATATTTTCCATCCATTCAACTGATTTTAGTAAGCATCTGTGATATACATTATTCAAGTTTCTGAGCTGGAAAAGTACAAAAACACAGTTCTAGACCCTAAAATTTTACATTCAAATGGGTGAAAAGTCATTTTTAAAAGTAAATATTATTGAAAACATAATACATTAATAAAATTGCATGCAAAAGTAATAGGAATATAGCTAATTAGACCACTTAAATACCTTTTTTAAAAGATGGTAGGTTTTACAGAGCAATTAGGTATCTGTGTTGAATCTTGATGGAAACCAGTTTATGAAGGATATGATGGTGGAAAACTGAATACAGAAGTAGAAAGGATACACACAGGCACATAAGACCAAGTACATACTAATGGTACCTAGTGCTTTTGCTGAGAGAGAGATGAATGGTAATGATGGGAATAAAAATCAGAGGTCTATTTTACAGATAAGAAAACTGAGATGGAAAGGCTATGATTTGTTTGATTCATTCAGTCAGCAAATGTGAGGGCACTGATTGGAACACAGATATTTTCTGAAATATTTTTGATGCTCTACATTGCTTTAATTTTCAAAGATATTTTTTCAAATCACATATTTTTAAACATAAAACACATGCTTCCTTTTGAAGCGATATCTCAGTAGAGTAGTGTTTCTCAGTTGTCCCATTGGCCTCTATTTATCTTGTAATGTTTCCAAAACACTTGCAAATAATACCATGGTCTACCATCATTTCTAGTGAAAAGTACTGATGAATTATAAGCAGAGGATTTGGAGATACATCTCCTTTGACACAACAGCAATGAATAAAAGGGTGGCAGGAGGTCGGGAGGTGATCAGCAATGGGCCATATGGAAAGAAAAAGAAGCATACTTCCAGTTCTATTTATACATCAGACAACAGACAGCATGAGGTAGGGAGCAAATTATTTACTGACCATAGCACAAAACATGAGTTTGAAGTAAGTATATCAAAATTTGTCTTTCAATTATAAAATATGAGTTATGCCCCTATGCTCAAGTAGCTTATTCTCCATCAGGTTAAATAGTACCATGTGTATTGGTATTAGAAAAATGAAGAATGCAAGTGTAGCATTAAATCCATAGGAGATGGAAATAGAAGAAAACATTATTTTTCATTGGAGAACTAAAAACAATGTTAACGGAAGAGAAATGATGTGTAGAACCCTTGAAGGGAAAGCATGATTTAAACTGAAAGATCTGTAGGGGCTAGTGTGAGGCCCTTAGTGAGTAATTGATTGGAAGTGCTCTTGAAATTTGGTAAGAAAATGACAGGAAAGAGAATCTTCTTTCTTTTAGTCATGTTAGAGAATCACATTCCTAATTCCACTAAATGAATTCGTCTGTATTTTATAATACCGAAACACAGCTAGTTAGTGGATGTAACGTGCATTTCATAAAACTATAACTTCCCTAAACTACATCAGGTCAGTGAGAAATTGAATGGTCTCATTTGCACAAGTCTTATGTAAGATGTTTGGGCTGCATATTAATTTTTAGCTTGAGTTATGCTTTTTATTGACAAATTAGAAAATCTATACAACTATTGGAAAATGTGTGTGCGTGTTCCCCATGACATATACCTTTGAAGGAAAGAAATTATTTTAAACTGACCTTGGCTTGTATCACTTTGCCAATAATAATGAATATAGAGCCAAATGACTAACATAATTGGCCCTTCTGAGATGAAAAGAGCAGTGGGGAACCAGAGATATTCAAAATGATCACCTTTCTTCAATTAATAGAGGCTTTTTGAAAAGGCAGAAATATATATTTTCTATATTTTTTTCACTCTGCAGCAGAGTTAACTGTATCGTCTTGGATACACCCAGAGATCTTCTGGGGAGAGTTTGTACTATTTCATCATTCTGATAGTTCTTTTTCTATGCTCTCTAAATCTAGAAGCAGAGAAACAGGCACCTTACTTCCAAAAATAAGATTAATTCATCACATCTTTTTATGTTATTTATTCACATGTTAATGTAACAGACCTTCATGGAGCATCTGAAATGTGACACATAAGACAGAAGCATGCAATATAAGGCAGACATGCAAGTAGCTACCTACAAGTAAAGGCAACAGGAACAGTAGGGCAGCATGCGTAGATGGCAGTGAGGAAGAGTTAACTATTGGTCTCTAGGACTGCTAATTAAAAACTTCCTGTGCTGAATGGCCCAATGATTTTCTTTAAAAAATAATTAAAAATTCAGAACAAGCCTGGGAACAGTGGCTTATACCTGCAATCCCAGCACTTTGGGAGGCCAAGGCAGGAAGGTGGCTTGAGGCCAGTAGTTCCAGACCAGCCTAGACAATATAGCAAGAAACTATTTCTACAAAAATTATTTCAAAAAATTAACTGGGTATGGAGGCACGTACCTGTAGTCTTAGCTACTTGGGAGGCCAAGGAGGGAAGATAGCTTAAGCCCAAGAGTTCGAGGTTACAGTGGACTATGAACATGCCACTGCACTTCAGCACCTGGTCTACACAGACCTTGTCTCTTAAAAAAAATCAGAACAGTAATGTTTTTAATACAACAATCTCACAAATTAAATGATGCTTTCTGTTCTTTTCCCCATTTTAAACAAGAGGAAGTTAAGGCTTTGGGTATTTAACTGACTTGTTTAATAGAGCAGGACTGCTAAGTGGCAGCATTGGGCGGAGAACCCAATCATGATGGTATTTGTCTGGTATTAAACATTTACTATGTGCCTAGAACTGTGTTAAGCACTTAGTATTTTTTTCTCATTTAATATTCAGAGAAAACTATACAGTAGAACCTATTTGTTGAGTATAATGAGAGGCAGAAATACAGTATATTGGAAAAATGTAACATATTATTTTCAGGTAATATATACCGCATTAGAAAACTTGTCAAATTAAGAAGAGACATTGGGAAAGAGTTATAAGAACTTGTGAACACAAAAAATGTCTTTAGTAATTCAAACCTGATAGTGTTCTGCTGACTTAATTATAATGTAAACTAAAACAGAAAGATATTTGTAAATTTATGTTTTCTCACCTATATTTCCTGTTGGCCATTGCCTCATGTCAAGAAACCCACGAGAAACAGCTCAGCTTGAAAGAAAATGTGGCTGTCCATTTTCCTGAATGATGTGTTTCCTCTCCTTTATAGTAGCCAAAAAGAAAGAACATAAGTGAGATGTACAATTGAAACAACACAAATGCTATATTATTTTGTAGTTGAGGAAAACTGAAGTTTCAGTAAATTACCCAAAGTCTCACAGATTGGCAAATTGAACTTAGGCTTTCTGACTACAAAGATTGTTTAACAAATATGCGGCATTGTTCTTCTTGAGTAGTTTCCATGCTAAATTTTGACAAAGACCTTCTTCTGATGCAGGTTTGTGAAGCAGTCTACTATACATGAAAATTTACCACATCAAATCACTTCTGATGAACTAGTAATTCATGGTGGCTGTCAATATTAACAGCAGGAATTGAAAAGTTAGGACCTGTGGTGCCTGTCATCTAGAGTATGCAAATTTATGATTAATTTAATAAGCTTCTAGAATGCCAAAAGGACTTAAAAGTTGCTTTTAAAGTATTCTTTCATATTCCTTCTATGATTCTAAGCAATAATCTACATGAACAAAGAAAAATAAATAAAGGTTGAGTGTATGTTAATAGAAAATATATGTGCTGTTTCCTAGTCACTATGTTTCTAAAACAGGGAAGTAACCCCCCATGATATCACGTATGTGTAATTTCATTATATTTTAATAGTAGGAAAACATCACTGAAGATTTATGCTGGCCTTAGATGAACAAATTATAAATTTATATATAGAAGTCACTGAAACATCAGTATCCATTAATGAATAAAAATAAGTTTATTATAACTCACTATAATGGATTAAAAAAACACCACACTGACACAATGTGAGCAGTGTCTCAAGAGAAGAAAGTTAGAAATAAGGTATTTACCTGGCTCTGGAGAGAAGGTTCAAATGATTAAAGAAGAGGGTCTTTTAGGTTGGGGAACTAAAAATGGACAAAAATGGGAATATAAGAATTTACAATTAATGAGCATAATTAAGGTTTTAAAGCAACTGTTAATAAGTAAACTCATTTTGACCAGATGAGCAAATAATTGTTTCTTGATAAGAATATCCTGAAACAAAAGGTGAATCATGGGTTTAGTCTTATTTTTCAGCACAAAATTTCTCTGAAACCAGTAACTAAGTCATGTTCCCATGGGTGGTCTACAATCTTATCTAAAATCATGTTGACAACAGATGACACTATGTGAGACCCCTTCTGGTTGGCGATTCATGGGCCCAAAGTGGGAGTCCCAGAGATCCCCTTTCTTTCTAGTTGTGCCCATTTGTAGCACTGATCACATAATTAATAGCTTCTATCATTCTGACATGTATCAAAAGATAGTAAAACAAATGTTTAATTTGGAAATAGACACATGGTCATTTATTTACTCTTTTGGTTGAAATTTAACTTACATGATTGTATTTGTCATTTACTAATATTTACTTTGTGAGTGACATTAAGATTTCCACATTGTTGCTGTAATCATAGACTCCAAAAAGGTCATGTTAGCAAAATTTTTATTCATTAGTCTTAAGTGTATCAGTTGATACTGACTGCAGTCTGACTCATGCACACCAATTACCATTATTTCTATTTATTCATATTAAAGTATTTACTTGTAATAATATTTTTTGTTATACATCATTGGGTAAATATTTCACATTAAGATAAATGCTGTAAAATTAACATGCCACTAAATTTTCTGTATTCTTCAACCTAATAAAGAACACAGCATGACTCTTACTAACTAAACTTAGACTTTTATATTTCAACTCATAATGTTCCTAAATATATAAAGGTATAAGAAAGCAAATATCCCCAGAGTTTTATTAAATGACACATATATCTTTCTTTTTTATTTTGGAAACATCTAATTTTCTTCTAAATCTTCATTGGTTGCCTAATGAATATAAGTTGACTAATAAATGTTGGATAGTAACTATCATAAACATGATTTTTTTTATTGAAATAAATGAAAGTTCAGGCTGAAAATTAGTACTTTCTCGTGGCGACATTGCAGGATTAATATTACAATTTTAACTCACATTAGTTAGTAAAAATATGCTCTTTCATCTTGCATGGGATAGCAAAGTGTTTTTAGTGAATCCCTTCACAAACGTATGCTTTACAACTAAGGAATAGTATGTGTGGGATTATTAAAGGATGTCATTGCAGTGATTTTTAGCTACTTCTTTCTTTGCCTTCTTTGTATTATATCTCATCTAAACATACCTGAGTGCTATTTTTTAAGAATAAGTGTCAGGGTGTAAATTGGTATTTGAGAAGTACTTTGTGTCTGCTTTTTGATGTGCCTATATAATTTTTAAATGTCTTCTGTTGAGGTAATAAATCATTTTTCTAAATTTTGTAGGCGAAATATTTACATGGTTTCTCAAATTCCTCATTAAATTGATGAGCAAACAGACTTAAAGTTATATTTTATATTTCTCATAAAATCAAAACCTGAGTTTGACATTCTGAAGGTGGCCACATACGTTTCTTTCAGGTCAAGATGAGGGGGAAACAATTGGTTTTAGAAACACCCTAAATCTATTGAACCAAATTTGAATCTGTGTGTTTTTCTTCTGATCTTTATTCTTACCACCAGACACAATTCTCCCACGTTGACTTCTGAAATAAATCAATCTGTAATGGGCCACATGAAGAGCCATCTCAAATAACTGGAAGAGCTGACCCTTAGAGGCTCCTTCTCATCTCTATCAAACAAATGATAAAAACGGCAGTGACAGCAGCAGGACCATATGTACTTGGCCTGCATTAGCAGGATCACCAGATGTGAAGGCTTACGGACACCTAAACCGTGCAGCTATATTTGACTTGTATTTATATTTAGTCTTTCCATTTTATAGTACATTTTTGTGTAGTAAGATGTAGTACATTTCCAGAATCACCATAAAGCAAACAGGAAATCTCTGATATTGTAATACGTGTGTACAATGTGTAATGATCAAATTAAGGTCTTTAGGATATCTGTCACCTCAAATATATTTTTTTTGTGAGTTGGGAACATTTCAGTTTTCTCTTCTAGCTATTTTGAAATATAAAATAAATTGTTAACTGCAGTCACCTTATTGTGCTATTGAAGGCTTGAACTTATGTCTTCAATACAATTCTATGTCTGTACATATTAGCCAGTATCCCTTCATTTCCCCCATTAGAGAGTGTGATGCTTCCAGCTTTGTTCTTTTTGCTCAGTATTGCTTTGGTTATTCGGAGTCTTGGGATTCCATATAAATTCTAACATTGTTTGTTTGTTTTTTAAGTTCTGTGAAGAATGTCACTGATATTGTGATACAGATTGTATTGACTCTGTAGATTGCTTTGGGAAGTATGGTCATTTAAAAAATATTCTTCTGATCCATAGCGTTAAGTATCCTTTCATTTGCTTGTGGCCCCTTCAATTTATCTCATCTGTGTTTTGTTGTTTCCCCTACAGAGGTCTTTTAACTCCTTGGTTAAGTTTATTTCTAGGTATTTTTTGTAGCTATTGTGAATGGGACTATTTTCTTGATTACTTTTTCAGCTTGTTTGTTATTAGTGTGTAGAAACACTTGGTTTTGTATATTGATTATGTAGTATCTGTGCTTTACTGATTTTTTTAAATCAATTCTAAGTGTCTTTTGGTGTAGACTTCAGGCTTTTCTTTATATAGGATTATATCATCTGCAAAAAAGGAGAGGTTCCTCTTTTCCAGTCTAGATGGCTTTTATTTTTTATTCTTGCCTGATTGTTCTAGTTAAAAATTCCAATACTGTGTTAAATAAGAGTAAGGAACATGGGCATACTTGTCTTGTTCATATAATATTCTTTACCTGCAGAAATTTTTTCTTTTATTACATTAATCATCCCAGTCTCTCCTAGCCTTATGTACTTGATGCTTTTTTATCTTTATGTCTGTATAACACTTCTTCCTTTGTTTTTGATTTTGGACAGTATGACAATAATGTCCCTTGAAGAAGACTTTTTTGGGATGAGCCTATATGGAGATCCTTAAGCTTTTTGTGTTTGGATGTCTATATCTCTTGGAAGACTTGGGGAGTTTTTAAGCTATAATCTTGTTAAATGGGTTTTCTATGCCTTTATCCAACTCATCTCCTTCTACAATTCCCAAAATTCAAATATTTGTTCTCTCTATGGTGTCCCATATGTTCTGTTAGCTTTTTCATTCTTAAGCTTTCTTTTATTTTTTCTTTTTTGTCAATGTTAGTATAAAAGACTTATCTTCAAGTTCGTAAACTTTTTCTTCTGCTTAATCTAGTCCAAGTTTGTCCAACAGCAGCCATAGGCTATATGCAGCCCAGGATGGCTTAGGATGTGGCCCAACACAAATTCATAAACTTTATTAAAATGTTATGAGACCTTTCAAGTTTTCTTTTTAACTTATCAGCTATCATTAGTGTTAGTGTATTTTATGTGTGACCCAGGACAGTTCTTCCAGTGTAACGCAGGGAAGTCAAAAGATTGGACACCCTTAATCTAGTCTGTGGTTGAAGATATTGATTTTATTTTTCATTTAATTCACTAAATCATTCAATTTTAGAATGTATATTTGGTTCTTTTAAAATAATATCTATTTATTTTGTTTTTTAATTTCTCATTCAGCTTCTCAACTGTTTTCCTGATTGTTTTTGTATTGCTTATCAGCGTTCTGTGGTATCTCACGATTTCTTTAATATAATTATTTCTAATTATTTTTCCAGAATTTCTGGAGTATTATTATTAGAATTGCTTAGTAGAAATTATTAGAAAAATGAAAATCAAAACTACAATGAGATACCATCCCACACCAGTCAAAATGGCTATTACTAAAAAGTCAAAAAATAACTGTTACTTGAGAGGTTGCAGGAAAAAAGAAAAACTTATACACTGCTGTTGGGAATGTAAATTATTTGAGCCACTGTGGAAAGCATTTTGGCAATTTCTAAAAAACCTTAAAACAGAATTACCATTCAACCCAGCAATCCCAGTATTGGGTATGTGCCCAATGGAGTATAAATCATCTACCAAAAAGACACATGCACATATGTGTTCACTAAAGCACTATTTACAATAGCCAAGACAGGGAATAAACCTGAATGCCCAACAATGGCAGACTGGATAAAGAAGACATGATATGTATGCACTATGGAATACTGCACAGCCATGAAAAAATAAGAACATGTCCTTTACAGCAACATAGTTGAAATTGGAAGCCATTATTCTAAGCAAACTAACTCAGGAACAGAGAACCAAATACCACATGTTCTCACTTGTAAGTGGGAGCTAAACATTGAGTACATTTGGACACAAAGAAAGAAACAACAGACACCAGGGCCTACTTGAAAGTGGAGGTTGGGAGGAGGGTGAGGATCAAAAAATAAACATTGGGTACTATGCTTATTACCTGTGTGATTAAATAATCTGTACACCAAATTCCTGTGACATGAAATTTGCCTGTATAGCAAACTTGCGTGTGTACCCCAAACATAAAAGTTTTTAAAAAAGCAAGAATTATTGTATTCCTTTGGAGTTGTCATAATTTTTTGTTTTTTCATGTTTCTTGTGTCTTTACATTGATATCTGTGTATCTTTAAAGGTATCAATGTACAGACACAAGAAACATGAAACAGTCACTTCCTCCAATTGTTTGGATTGGTGTTCATAAGGAAAGACAGTTCCTAAAGATGTATTTAGAGTGTTGTTCAGGCAAAGCATGACTTTGATTCTAAGTAGACACGGTAATGTAATCTCCATGTGAGCTCTTTAGCTGTAATCAGTGGCAGTGGTGTCAATTCCTCAGTAGCTTAGGCTGTGTTTGTTAATGGAGGCTGTGACAAGGCTTTGTTGGGAATGAGGAAGCCAGGCAGTCCAGTCCTTGGACACCATTAATGATGGCAACAAGCTGAACCTGTTGATCTTTGGGCCACTGGTGGTGATGT